TCAGTCTTTCACCCTACGTAGGATATTAGTGGTAAACTTCGGGGGCTTTACTTTGACCAATTTAGATATATGCTAAACTTTTAACTGTAGGGAGGGACTTCTCCATTATGTCACAGCTAGGGATGGGGGACAGGACTGCAACTATGCCAATGACAAAAAATTAAGAGACACATCTCTCGAGGCAAGCGCCCAGTGAGAAAAGCATAAATTTAATGGAATATGGATAGCAGAGTAAGGACAAACTGGGTGTTCTTTCCATCTAGTGTCTACCAGCCTCCCTCATACAATAATGCTGCTAATGTTCCCCCACCACTTATACAGCTCCAGTATAGTGGGCATATGAGTAAGGTTGGGCAATTTATCCAGCCCATCCTCTGGACCAACTATAGTAAAATTCAAATATGGGACCGTTTTGCAATTATTATGTGAAAGCTCTCTTTCTAATAGACTTATAAATCAGGGATTAACACACTACAAACCATGACCTAAATCTGGCCTGCTATCTGTCTACAACAGCAAATTACTATCTGGTTCATTATAGAAAAAGTTTGCTGACCTCTGTTCTTAATAATACCATGTCAGCCTAGAATAGTAAGGAAGCATCTCACTACTATATGAAAAGAACATGTTGGAAATTAAGTCAAGGCCAGGCATGGTGGCTTATGTCTGTAATCCTAGCACTCTGGGAGGCCGAGGCTGGTGGACCACCTGAGCTCAAGAGTTCAAGACCAGCCTGAACTAGAGTAAGACTCCATCTCTAAAAATAGTGGGACGTTGTGGTGAGAGGCCGTAGTCCCAGATACTAGGGAGGCTGAGGCAAGAGGATCACTTGAGCCCAAGAGTCTGAGGTTGATATAAGCTATGACACCATGGCACTCTACTGAGGGTGACAAAGTGACTCTGTCTCAAAAAAAAATGAAGCCAACAAGAAAGAAGAAACCAACTCTGATATTACAGAAGTTCCCAGATTCAAATGGGCTAGAAATTATCATACTCTATTTTTCAGTCATATAACCTAATAAATCCAGCTTTTTCTCAAGGAACTTTGAATGGAGTTTCTTGCATTTAAACTAAAAGAATTAAAATTCAATACATAGATAAAACCCATACTGCTCATTGTAGGAAACCAACTTTAAATTCTTTCTCTACTACATGTCCATCAATACTACGTGCCAAAAAGACATTAAACATCTCTTCATATTTTTATAAATATAAAATAAATAATTTTTATAAATATAAAATATAGTTTCACCAGACTATGATTGTATACTAAAGGGCTCCATTAGGTTTTTGGAATCTTTCCAACCAATCATCCTAAGTATTACTGAACAATGAAAGAACAAGAAGAATGGAAAATAAAATTATCTTCTACCCACCCCCCCAAAAAATCCAACACTAAATAATCTATCACAGGACAAATGAAAGAAAAGTATAAAAACAGAAGGTAAGTACCACCATTAATTTCTCTGAAATAAAAAAAAAAGAAAAGAAACTACTCTAGGACCAGCTAAAGAAAGAGCCAGCTAGAGAAATCCAAAATACTCAAGGAAACAGGTTTAACTAATTAGGAAGATGGTAATTAAAACTGGAGCTGCTAATTGTCTACTGGGCCTGTATCTCCAGTAATGTTCCCTAGAAACTCTCAGCAATGGGGGACAAAATTAAGCCTAGCATGATTATCAATTATGCACACAACAGTTGTCTTGTATTTGTCTCTCTTTTCAGGAAACTAAAAAGCACACAGAGGTGTGGTTTTCAGAGCAAGCCATATATTCATATGAGAAAAATTTTATATCATGTTTAGGAACAGAATTATTTAGTGTTTAAACTTGGTGCGGTTTTTTTATTTGTTTGTTTGTTTGTTTTGAGACAGAGTCTCAAGCTGTCGCCCTGGGTAGAATGCTGTGGCGTGACAGCTCACAGCAACTTCCAACTCCTGGGCTCAAGTGATTCTTTTGCCTCAGCCTCCCAAGTAGCTGGAACTACAGTTGCCTGCCACAATGCCCAGCTATTTTTTGTTGCAGTTGTCATTGTTGTTTGGCAGGCCCAGGCTGGATTCGAACCCACCAGCTCTGGTGTATGTGGCTAGGGCCTTAGCCGCTTGAGCTACAGGCACTACTGAGCCTGTTTAAACTTGTTTTAAAGTGTACATTCTGGAGCCAGGAGACATTTCTTTCAACAGCATGCTTTCTATCTGCAGAGGCCACAAGTTAATCTACAGGAAAACTGAAATGGTTAGTAAGAAAACCAGTTAAACACAGAGGACAAATATCAAGTGGTAGGGAGAAAGAGAAGAAGGTAGCTTAAAATGCAGTTAGTGAAACGATTCTAGACCTCCAGCTTACTGGGGGAGAAATGGTGGTGGGTTTTTCTTTCCTTTTTTTTTTTTTTTGGATTTTCTGTTGTTAATCCATACAAAGAATAGTATGTCATGATAGGATTTTTCTTCCTGGGTATTTCCTCCCCTATGAGTTGAAGGTCATTGAGAGTCAGGGAAAGTATTGTAAAACTGAACTGAGTAAGAATCTAAAAAGGCAATTTGATGTTTTATTTCTACTAAAGATGAAAACCAAATACTTCTAGGGTTCAAATTCTAGTTTTGCTAACTACCCACAGTATCCATTCTCCTTGTCTTCCTTAAAGAAATACTATGTCCTGGGTCCTGAGTGCCTATGTACAGCCTAGATTTCCCACACTCCTTTACAGTTAGATGTGGCCACATCATTATGTGTGGGTCAACGGAAGTGATGGGGGCACCTGCTGAGTCCTTCAAAATGCTTTCCCTGGACGTATTCATCTCCATTTTCTAGTTGGAAAATGGCAATGACTGGAACAACCTGGGGAGCCAAGGAGCCACAGGTTGATGATGGCAGAGTGACATGTTCCAGGTAGGGACTGCTCTATTCCAGGCTCTGAGGGACAAATACACTTGCCTATCTTACTTAAGCCACTGTACTTTGGAGTCTCTCTGTTCTAGCTACCTAGTCTGTACCCTACTAATACAGTCACTATCTGTGCAACTAGGGGCAAAAATAATTCTCTAAACCTCAGTTCCCTCATCTGAACAATGGAATCCTAGTACTTATTTAAGAACTAGGAGAAATAAATGGCTTAAGAGATGTGGTAGCCCAATCCTGTGCCTAACATGCAAAAATGTGCTCAACAAATGGTAGATGATGCTAGCAGAGAAGAACTACTTGGGAAGCTGCTTTCAAAGGCTTCTGACATCAAGCAGCAACTGTGCCCACAAAGCCCTAAAGGTAGACATGTATCTGGTTTTGAGAGAGTTTCTGTAGGTAACAATGTATTCAGAGAGCTATCTTATATTTTAGACTAGGATAAGAATTTACATTAAACAAAGCTTAATTATACTTTACCAAACTGCACCTACATCTTTAAATAGTCCCTTAAATCTTGTTCTATGTCATTAAATGTTATGCAAACACTAGTTATTTAATGCTTAGTTGACTAAATTGAGTACCATGTTTGTACAAAATACAGTAAGAGTAGAAAGGTACATTAATCTGTATTCCCAGATCACTGTACTTGGGCAGGCTGAGAAAGACAAACACAAATGAGCTGGAATCATCTATACTGGTCACTTGATTGACACACAGAGTTCAATAGTCATGACCGGCTTTTTCCTTGCATGCATTCCCTTCTTTGAATAGTGCCTTTGCAAGGGTCGATTATTGGTCCTCTGGCACTATGGCTTCTTTTTATCTTGTATTGGTGGGACACGGATATTAGACTGTACTCTGAGGATTTCTCTAGCCTTGAGATTTGCTTAACAATGGAGTTGAGATCCTTGGCACCAAGAGGACTACTATGGCCCTAGGGACATCCCCAGGGCGCTCACGTGAGTTTTACACACCACAAGATATAGAACCACCACAAGCTTACATCATCCATTGGAGGCCAGCATCAACTCTGAAATGGCAGCAGGAATCACATCACCAGGATGAACTCCTTCCATCTACCCTGATACTGCCCCACTGCTTATACTGGGATGTGAGTTACTATGGTGATGGGAGGCTGAACCACAGGATGTTGCATAATCTGTACACACTATAATAAGCATTTATTCCATAAAAATGGATTTGAAATAAAGCTTTGCACACTACTTTTTGGAAGTATCATATAGTCAATAAACATTCAGTAAGACTGCATGGTCTCTGCCTCCTTTAGATGACTAAGAAGCATTACACTCAAAGAACCTGTGCCCTGGGTCTGCAAGACCAAAGCTCAGGAACCACATACACACAGAAGCAATGCCAACATCCACAAACATCAACCTAGAAATAAAAAACTACCTCTGCTACATTGGTTTCGAGGATGCAAGGCTTCAGAACAATAGTAAAAATCACCACACTAAGAAAGCAAACAACTCAAGACCTTTATTGCAGACTCTTGCTCTGCTTCCCTGAATTGTTACTTACAGGTTCCCGGCCATCCATGGCTTCCATCCAGAGCCTTCGGTCCTCTTCTGACAATGCCTGCATGGTAATAACTCCTGGCCTGTGGAGAAAGGAGGGATACAGATATGAACCCAGTGCCACGTGCAGAAAGACTGACACAAGTGAACCTAAACACTCCCTTAACAGAGTGAATGACTGCTGGGGTTAACATCACAAAGAGAGACACAACTCTCGGCTTAGAGCCACTTTCTAGACTCAGAAAGCAAAACCACCTACCTACCCAAATCCCTCTGAGCAAAACCACCTCCCTCTGAGATACTGTACAGGTCAGAGACACAGAGGAATAAAGTGACTCCCCCAGACATTGTTTGTTCCTTAAAATCTTATTCATTTCTATTACTCAAAATGCTTGACAAGAATGTTTTACTCAAAGTAGAAATGAAATGAATATTTGTTAAAATGAATAGAATTATTGGACTCAAGATTAAAAGAAGAGGAAAAATCCAAGCTGGAAGCATCCTCATTTCCTAAAATCTAGTCTAATGCTTCCAAGCTGCTTTTGACATGGAGAAATTTTAGGAGGTAACCAGCTTTGCAGTCATGATCACAATGTGCATAGTATTTTTTAAAAAATGAATACTTAACCATATCAGATACTGAGTTCATTACAGGTATTAGATTCTTTTCAACCCTTGAAATGCTCTTCCTCTTTAGAGCACAAACCCTCCAGAAGGCATGAACCCAACACTAAAGGGTGTTTGTTGAGCTCCCATTACACATGGCACTCCATGAGAAAAAGAAACCATGCCATAAAAACGACCTTGGGACCACTCAGGGAGGCCGAGGCAGGTGGATTGCTTGAGCGCACAAGTTCGAGACCAGCCTGAGCAAAAGCGAGACCCCCGTCTATACTAAAATAGAAAAACCGAGGCAGGAGGATGGCTTGAGCCTAAGAGTTGGAGGTTGCTGTGAGCTATGACGACACAGCACTCTACCCAGGGCAACAGCTTGAGACTCTGTCTCAAAAAAAAAAAAAAAAAAGACCTTGGGAGAACGGGCCAAAAGCCCTCTCTGCTCATTAAAGCAGGAGTTCTTTACTTAGCGTCCACAGATGGATCCCAAAGTGTACCCATACCACATTCTCCCCACGCCCAGATGTATATGTACTTTTCTGTAAAAACAATTCAGACTACCCACTGGATTCTCAAAGAGGACTGCAACCCTCAAAAAGTTAAGAATTGCTGATTAAAACCCTCATCTTTAAAGTTGGAGAAAGCCTAAAGAAGAAGAGACCCAGTAAGCAAAAGCCACTGAAGTCCTACTGCTGTCTGAGTCCCCAAGCATTGACGACCCCCAGAGAGCAGCGGACACGCAGGCTCAGAAATGCCCTGGGCAGCACCAGTCTGAGCCCTGCAAGCTCCCAAGCCTGTTAATTCCATCTATGATCTCTGTGCCTGGCTCATTTCCACTGTTTCAATGGATATGTTAGACTTTATATTCAATGTATTTCAAAAATCACACTTGCTTGCTTTCATTGATCATCCCTCAACATACTCTAAGAAAAAAGTTGTCAGCCGTGTGAGAAGGGTAGGAAATATGAAGGGCCTCGGGGTGGGGAATGAACATGTGCCTGTGCATGTGTATGCATGAAAGAGAGTGAGAGATCAAGCCAGAGACAGGGGTACAGAGAGGAACAGAGGTGGGGGAGAGGTGGGTGGGATATTGAGCCCTAAGAGGGTGATCACTCCTGTGAAGGCCACACTGGGCACCAGCACCATAACACAAAGATGACTCAGAAGATGGAGTAACTTCTCTCTCCATAAGCACCTACCCAGTCTCTCCCTCCTCTTCTCAGAAATTCTCATTCTCAGACCCAGTACCCACTCCCCACCATCTGCCCATTCAGTCTCACTGGTGTCTGCAGACTGTGCTGAGAGTTGTGGCTCCACAAAACTGATCCTGTGGCTCAAGAGCACGATGGATTGATTCTACACTTCCACATTTCAAAAACCCAAGCCCAAAGCTTTAGGCTTTGAAATAAACAGTCTGTGAGTAAAACACTCTTGTCAACAGCTACAGTCCACTAATTAGAACTATCAAGGCCCTGAATGTGGGTTTTTGAGTGTTCTTGTGGTGCTGTCCCTGCCTCACCCCCTTCAGAACTGGGTATTCCCTTAATACAAAGATACCCAGCCCAATCTCAACTCCCTGAACCTGAACTTCTGGTTAGGGCCTGGGAACTTGGATTTTAGCCAACTCCCCAGGTGATCCTGATGCACAGCTAAGTCTGAAGATACACCCTGGGCTGTCCACCCATCCCCACTATTTTCTTCCCTGTTCCTCCTGCATGAGAGCAAAGACACCCCATGTACACAGTAAAGTCGAGCAGCCAACATGTCTCCAGCTCATCTCCTGCTAGGCACTCACCAGCAAACAGTGAGCCACAGTGCTGCCTACCTAACAAGGTCTCGGGGGGCTTCACACATGTCACTTCAGCTTCATGGCACACAGTGTGAAATTTCCACCCAAAGCCACAGAGAGGAAGTTCAGACTAACTCAGAGGCTGTGTTGGGTGGGCCAACTGGCCTCAGTAACCAGGAAAATCAACAGGATTTCTTTTCATTTCAAGAAGAAATATCAAGTCCTTTGACACAATGGTCTTGTTCCTTTTGGGAGAGGCAAGGGAAGAAAGGCAAGAGGAAGGTGGTGGATAAAATGGATTTAACACCCCAAGTGCGGGTGATTTTCTCTCGGCCTCCTATGTGGACATCCAGATCACAGTACTGTTCTTTCTAGGCATCCAGAAAACACTAACACTCATTTGACTCCAAGTTCCTTTTCCTTCATTGTAATTAAAAGCACTATTACACAAATCTTTTGCAAGAGAATTTCCTAGAACCAAGGTAAAAGGGTCAACTTTCTTTATTTGGTAACCAAGCAATAGTTTCTTTCCGTATTTACTTTCCCTACGCTCCTAATAACCACCATCTCTCAAAACAAAATAAAACAAGCAAAACCCTCAATGACCCTCCACTTTCCACATCAGTCCTTATAACATACTCTGAGATCTTCTCTTATGCCAATTGAGTTCATGTTTGAAAAGCATGTGGGTTTTCATAGCAAAAAGGGTAAGGATGGAGGAAAGGGAAAGAGGAAGGGAAGAAAAAGTAGGGGAGAGATGTGAAATGAGAAAGGGGAAATATGAAACAATGAATGAAGAATGGAGCAGGTGATCAGAGCTAGTTCAATGATCAATCACTTGTTCCACAAAGAATTATGACCCTATTAGGCACTGTACTAAGAGAACTGCAATAATTATAACCCAGCACTGCTCCAGCTGCTGTAATAAGCACTATACATAAATTAACTCACTTAATTTTCACAACTATGTCATGAAGTATTTTCTCATGTATTCCCATTTAGCAGATTTGGCCTTAACCTCTAAGGTTCAGAGAGGTTAAGTACCTTGTCAATGATTACAAAGCTGAGTAAGTTACACAGCCAGGATATAAATACAAGTAGTCTAACTCTGAACTCTTGTGTACAATGCCACGACAAATATGAGGCCACTACAGCCCCGAGAGAGCCCATGTTAACCTCTGGTGTCAAAATTGGCCCAGCCCTCCTACAAGTACCTTAACTCCTGCAAAGGATCAAATTAGACTAGAGTGATACAGGGCTCTGTAAAACACAAAGTGCTTCATAAATATGAGGGCTCAGAACACGACTGTAGGAAAACAGCCAATCCATAGGCAAGAATCCAATAGTGTCCACATTTTTCCTACCTCAATACTCAAAAGACAGAAAACCAGTGAGTTGTTTAAAAGAACACAAAAAGCATCACACATAAAGAAAAAATATTGATAAACTGAACTTTGCCCAAAGAACTTGGCATTCATTAAAAAATACTGTTAAGAGAGTGAAAAGGCAAACCAGAGTAAGAGGAGATATTTGTGATATCTATCGCCAACAAACACCTACAAATAAATAACGGGGGCGGGGAAGCACCAAATTCAGTAAGAGATTTGAAAAAGCACTTCATAAAAACCAAAGTAAGAAGAGAAATTTGTGATACATATCTCCATCAAATACCTACAAATAAATAAGGGGGGGGGGGGAAGTACCCAATTTAATAAGAGATGTGAAAAGGCATTTCATAAAAGTAGACATACAAGTAGCCAATAAGCATAAAAAATAAGGCCCACACTGATTACTCATCAGGGAAATGTAATTAAAACAACAGTGAAGTAAACCCTCCCCAGGAGGGCACTGAAAGGACCACCAAGACCAAGTATGGGCATGATCATAGAGCCAACAGGAACCCTCATACATTCTTCTCCCAGTGGGAGAAGAAACTGACAAAACCACTTTGGCTCTATCTGCTAAAACTAAACATACACCTGCCCTGTGACTAGCGATTCTACCTCTCTATGTATGTATAATCGGGGGAAATGAGCATGCATGTCTAGCAAAAGGTACATTCAAGAATGCTTGTGATCTTATTCGTAATAGCCCAAAAGTACAAAACTGATATCCATCAATAAGAGAACAAATGATTGCATATTTAAACAACAAAACACTATACAACAATAAAAAAAGCACCAACTACTGCCACATGCAACACATGGATGAAGGTCACAGACAGATGGAGAAAGAGGCCAGAAGGCTATAAATTGCATAATTCCATTTACGTGATGGTCACATGCTGCAAAACTCCTCTATGGAGACACAAGTCAGAAGAGTAATTTTATTTAGGGGTAGGGACATGTGCAATGACTGGAAAGAAGCCTAAGGGAACCTCCTGGAGTGATATAAAAATGTTGCATGGCATGATCTGGGTGGTTACTCAGACGTATGTGTGTGAGAGAAGTCATTAAAACACAGACTTAAGATGTGTGCATTTTACTGTGATTATATCTCAATAAAAAACTGTTTTAAATACTCAAGAGATAAGACTTCTTATCAATAAGCTCCGCTCACTAGTTATCCTGACTCTAGCGCTTCGGGTGGATTAACCATAGAACTGCCACACACTACTCTTATTATCTGCATTTTAAAGAAAAGTAGCATAGAGCAGTTCAATTACTTGTCCACTAGCAT